TGGGTGTGGGTGGGCGTGGGTGTGGGTATGGGTGGGTGGGTGTGGGTGTCCTTTCTCTCTTTATTCACACCCACACCCACACCCACCCATCTCTTCACTCGCACCCACACCCTTCCCGGTCCAAAAATAGTACCATATTTGTGTAGATAAATACATGTGAACTATTTTCTCTCACGCACACAGTCGACCATCACATTGGATCGTTCAGTACAAGACACGATAGACTGCGAATAAATACAAAAAAAAGAGTCAGTTTATGTGTAAATACTGCTGTAGTATTTATTGAAGAGGCATAAAAAGAAGAAAATGGACTTTTTTCAATACTGTTCTGATTATCAATTTCATGTCATTCAAAAATCAGCACCACCACGAAGTCGGAGCACAAGATGGAGTGTACTCTCCTTCTGGATATTGTAGTCATTGAGTGTACGGCCGTCTTCGAGTTGCTTGCCGGCGAATATGAGACGTTGTTGATCGAGTGGAATGCCTTTCTTTTCTTGAATCTTCGCTTTGACGTTCTCAATGGTGTCCGGGCTTTCAATTTCGAGAGTGATGGTTTTACCCGTGAGGGTCTTGGCAAAGATTTGCGTGCCACCACCAAGTCGGGCGAGAATATAGAGAGTGCTCTCCTTCTGAATGTTGTAGTCGCTTAGGGTACGACCATCTTCGAGTTGTTTACCAGCGAATATAAGGCGCTGTTCATTGGGTGAAATGCCGTCTTTTTCGTGAATTTTCGCTTTGACATTCTCGATGGTGTCAGTGCCTTCGACTTCGAGAATGATGGTTTTGCCAGGTATTGTTTTCACGAAAATCTGCATTGTACATGATGCGATGACTGCATATTTTTAACAGAGAATAAATAATTAGAATGCTTTGCAAAAATGAATGAAGACAACACCAGCAGAACAAAGCTTTTATAGTATGGCTGTATGATGATGGCTCAGTCAGATGATGTTTCTTGAAGTTGTCATAAACAACCATTATGTTGTTCGATGACACATGGTAAAATATTCAGAACAGAAAGTAAAGTAGTAAAGAAAAACATTCTTCATTCAACAAACGTACAAATATCCAAGAAAATGAGAGAAGTTTTTTGTCACTCTAGAATATTCTGATTAATTATTCAGGCAATATGGCGCAAGACTTGATTACAGGTTCGATAAAAGATCGTTTTTTTTACATGTTACAATGCATTTTTTCCAACTTTAACTCAATCAGAATAATGCATAACGATATAGTCAACAGTTACACGACTCCATCATGCATATCGCCCTATGGATCTAGTTATGTTTGATCATCACACTACTACTTAGCTCGTTACAAATAGGACAGGTTAACAAAGAAAGCATTCTAGAATACATCAAATTAGTTTTGTCTAATCAAATTAGTATAGTTGAGTAGAATCGATTTTCGATTTTACTCACATAGTTGTGTTTAACGTCACGGACCGTATCAAAGAAAATGTCCATTAGACAGTTAACTCAAAAAAAATTTCAACATGGACGTATCTCCTTCAGTTATCTAGTGAGTCAAAAATTGTGTTTCGTCTTTTAGAGAAACTATCCGTGCCATTTTATTCAGAGTGGTGTTCTCATTGTTGCCGCATCAAGGTTTTTGACGAAAACGAGCTATAGATCCAGGGACGGCACGAAGAGGTCTAAGCAGGAGGGGGGGTATCCCGAAAATCGGAGCCGTCAATCCCAAGAAGTCAAAATTGAAGAGCAAAAAAAAAAAACCTCTTCACCTAGGTTTTCTAGGTGTACTGAAGTACCTCTACGACAGCCGGTCCCTTTCATTCTGAACTCTAAGCGCTACTAAAAATTTCACAGACAAATAGTAAGAAAATTTTCACAGACACGCTAAAAAAGTGCCGAGGGCTAGCCCCCGGCGCATCGAGAGGTCTGAAAGTATAGAATGTTCCTCAGGAATATTCTTTTTGCATTAGCAATCAGATTGTTTCACGTTGTTGTAGACACAAGAAAGAAACATTTGTACACTTATCGTTAACATCCACGTATCACATATTGCTGTTGATGACAGATGCATCTAGTCATAATACTAATTTCTCGCTTAAACACGAACTTAGATTATTGATGTAGGTCAAAAAATCTAAAGAATCGAAAAACAAAATAGTAGAATAGACTTCTTCAAACTTAGAGTTTTGACAAATTTAGGATAAATTGTCTACTGTATTTCTCCAAAATCGGAGAAAATTGTCTACTGTAGTTCTCCAAAATTGGTGAAAATTCTCTACTGTAGTTCTCCAGAATTGGAGAAAATTCTCTACTGTAGTTCTCCAAAATTGGAGAAAATT